GAAAACCTGAGTGTTAAAAGACTGATTAAAATAACGTGTATTAAAAGTAATACAAATTGCTTAACCTACAAACCATTCCTAAATGTTGCAAAACAGCATCACAGACAAACATTTAAGTATAGTCTTTGCATGATCTTAAATAAAAAGCATGAATATGAAAACTGAAAACATGATCAGCAGAGAAATTCAAGTTCACAACTGTAAACAAATACAGTCACTGAGGAGGCAAAACCAGAAACATTTTAGTCCCAAATTTGTCTACGAACACAACAAAAGTTACCCATTTACGTTATATTGTTCTGTAACATTCAAAATTTAAATTCTACAATCCCCAACTCACCATAAAGGTCTACCCAGTTTGCAGACCTTTACTACCAGCCAATTCGTTCTCCTTCACACTTAAATATCTCAGGACCTGAAATGTAAACTGTATTTCTGCTTTCAGCTGAAACAAGATAACCCCGACTAAACGACAAGCCCTCTGATAAATTCACCGCTTTTCTGACCAATAGTAATAAATTATCATCAATAACTAAATTGGTACTTCCCGCTTCATTTATTTCTAAAACCAATGTCATCATTCAACAAATAAACTACATCAATCTAATAACCTATTCAATGAAGCAGAAAACATATTGACTCCTTTGCAAGAACATGTTCCTCCTCCATAATTCAAATAAGCACATCCCATTCTTAGCAATGGTTTCAGGCTCAACTGCTCATAGACTCTTCTTGGGAAGTTTCTTGACAACTAAAATGTGGCAAGTTCTTAAGATTTCAGGCAGAAACAGATATGGAAACTTTGCCTTCTTGATAGATTATTTAACAACCTCCTGGTTTTAAAGAACAAGAAAGGATATATTGAAAAATGCCATGTAAAGCAAAGAAGGATCCTCCTCTCAATTTCAGCTCTTAGAAAGGAACTACATAGGTTTCAGAGTAAACTCTGCAGAAATAGGTGTTTTGGTACGAAACAATGCCTTGATAGTAAAGGCCTCATGAATGTGATTGGGTTCACCCTCGTGCAGAATCTCACCGACTTCCACAAGGATCGACTGTCTGCTGAACAACTGATTGCTTGTGCACAAAAACTATGTCTCGACCAATTTGAACCATTACACAGTTGTCCTTTACCAACAACTGAAATCACAATGCATAAAATGTTAAAAAAAACCCACATCAGAATTTTAAAATTATCAAAATCACAGGAAAGTACCTATACTTTTATTGGCCTTATCAATACAAATTGTCCTTAAAAAAATTACTGCATGTGTATTTTTTAGAAACAAAGTCATGTAGCTGCTACACAGAATTCTGAAATAAAACAGCGTTAAAAGGTATCAAGTCATCAGTCACCTCAAAGGGCAAAATATATTCTCCCCATTATTTTGATGGTTTAAATAATTACTGTAACTGCAAGTAAAATGTTCACATAATAAAACTCTATCATCTCGGCAGCATCGTGTTATTGCAGGATAGTAGTGTATTACTCAGAACTTACTTTGCACTTGTTTCTTGTATTTACAGCTTCTTAAACACAGAAAATGAAATCTTCACTTAAAGAGGCAATATATTGAATCTGCACCACGACACATTGCCTTGTCTTTTAAAGTAAGATTTTACAGTGATATTATTACATGGCTTTTGTAATGTTATCAGACATAATTTGCCGCTCATTATACACCAATACTTATCTAACTTGATTTACAACTGAAAGAATTAAGACTAGTACAGGTTAACCACAGACTTTTCTTTAAATTTTAACTATTTCAAAAAAAAAAAAAAAACCAAAAAAAAAAAACAAAAACCACATACAGAATTAGGCTTAATTAGCAAAAATGCTGATTTTTTGCATGTAAGAAATACAATTACTGCAGAACTATTCAATTTTTGCTCAAGTTGCAAGCTCGTTACTATAAATGTAATGCTTTTTTTTTTTTGCTTTTTTTTTTCTTTAAATACTGCTCAGTTTGAAAGCTTAGCAATGCCTGTATAATAGACGACTTCCTACAAGACCTCTTTATGTGGGTGGTTACTTATGGCCTAGAAAAATCATCATTTCTTTACAATTTCAAACCAAAACCATAACAAAACCAAACCTAGAATCCCTCCATGTCAGCATCTTACAATCCTTTTTATGTTTTCACCTGACATGAAACAGAGGTAGCATCAATAGCCTGTTTTCTTATTTTATTCCCCTATGCCTATTTTCTTAAAGGAAAACCTACATAAATGCCTCTAAAGCAAAACACCCTAAAAAAAAAAAAAAGAATAAAAGAAAAAAAAAAAAAGATCCCAAACAATCCAGGACACACAGCTGATAAGCGTAAATTACCCAGTAGCTGAAACCAGTGTCTCCGGGGTCTCACATGCCAGTTTTCTGGATCAATCCCCAAGTTTATATTTTCACAAATCTTTTTACATGCAGTTTGATTTTTAACATTTTAATGAGCAAAAAGTGCATCTATAGCAGCCAGTCACCACAGTTAAAGTGCAGGGCATGAACTGTGTCCCTTGAGGGATTCAGCCCAGCCGTGTCACCAGTGGCTTTAGGACATACACCACCTGGTTCCTTGTCCCAGGGTTCCAACTCTTTTCATAATCAAAACACTGCTGACATTATAAACCCCACATGGATTTTCTAAAATCCTTCCCAATCAATAAAGCCAGTACATAACTTATCGGAGACAACACAGAGCTCATTGATTAAGTTTGGTTTCAGTAGCAAAGTTTTCAAAATAAATGAGGCAGGAATACAGTGTTCAGCCCTTTTGTGTCACATCGCAATTTATGAAGGTGAGGCAGCCTCTAAAAGGATTTCACACACACACACACACACACACACACACACACAGAGCCTTGAAAAGCGTATGGAAAGCAAGGTTGTTAAAAACACACAATACACACTTGGCTTCTGTCCCAAATTATCTATGTATTGAGACGAAATAGTAAAGGAAGCTCAACATTGCTGAAAAAATTTGCATATTCACTTGTTAATTTAATATGCAAGTTGTATCTTAAGTCATGTCTTTTTTATTTTTATTTTTAAACCTTCCACCGTATGCTCCCACCTTCAAGACAACAACTTCAGAGCATCTTAAATATACGGGATCACTTAAGTTCTCTTATTCAAGTGAACATTGGTAACAGATTTCCCATGCTTCCCAAATTTACCATTAAATAAAACTGCACCGACAAAATGATATGCAAATTGATTATCTAATGCAAGAACAAGAGACCATTGCAAACAATCTACTCTTAGAAAGATGCATGATGCAACAGACATTCAAAGTGGAACAAGAAGCCTAAGTAAAAGTTGGAGAGAAAAGAAACTAAAATACAGGCAGAGATCTGTGAAAAATGATGAATGCTTAAGGCAAGACTCACGTATTAGCGTGAGTCAGAGAAGGGAAACAATATACCACAAACCCAACAGGTTGGGGACCTGTATTTGGCAGCCTGTTGGGAAACATGAGGAAAAACAAGGCAAAGCTGAAAAGACTACCCAGGGTACAGACAAGACCTTTAGCTGTGCATCATGGGGGGAAAAAGAAAGAAAGAAAAAAAAAAACCAAACCACCCCAAACCACCATCACCATATTTCAGAAAGTACATACATTTTTACAGGAGGACAACTCAAATATTACAAGAGAATGGAGCACTGCGAGTAAGATGAGCCTTCCATGGATGGAAGGGATGACTCAGCGATGAAAAAGACGACTGCTGTTTTATTTCCTCGACCTTAAACCAGAGGTGAAGCATAGGTGAGTTGCTGTAAGTGAAACACTAAACAGAAAGGATGGAAATACAAACAGTTTTCATCTTATCCAGCTTGAAATACCATCTGAATCCATGAAACAAACATGAAATCCATCCTCTTCACGGAAGGACACACACCAAGAGAGTTTCAAGAACACATCAACAGACTGATGAAGGAAGGAGTTGATACTGGAGAGCAAGGAGGGTTAGGAAGAGAACAAACACAGCCAGCCCCAAGGGCTCAAGGGGAGTGAGAACAGGTCGCAGGATCCCGACTTGACCAGCAAGGAACTATAGATGCTTCTACTTCTGCTCAGAAACAACATCAAATTTAAACATAGCAAAAATGTTAATACAGCATAAAAAGCGTGCCAAGACATTAACTGGAGCAAAATATTACCCAATTATTTTGATATTTGGCTTGTACATTAATCTACCTTATAGCCACAAAATTGTAAACTGCTCTTATGTTTAATTCATCTATTTGAATAACTGTAAGCTAACGATTAATTAAATCATAGAACAACAGGTTTAAGAATTCAAAACAGTTGCTAGTGCACCAAATAACCAACTTAAACCTGACAACAACTCTGTTTAAAACCCAAAGGGTGGTGATAGAAAAAGTACAGAACAATCTGGGTAGAACACCATAAATTCTGCTACCTACACAGAGCTGGTCAGAAATTCATACACATTTTCCTAGGAAAGGGAACACCTTTCTG